CATTGTTACTTAACACTTCCATTGTTGATGGAAGTGTTAAGCCTTAATCCTGTCCTTCTCCCCCGTGGGGAGGAATTTCAAAAAATCCCTTCTTAATGTGCGTTTTCGTGACATACCCTAACTATGTACTAAATTTCAACGTTCAACTCCTAACCGTTTGGGCTCTGCGCTGATTATTATTATTATTATTATTATCATCAACCCGTCTCGATTATATATTAGATAGGAAAGTTTTCTTTAAAGCTTTGTTTTTGTATTTGACATATATTTATTGATGTGTGAAATAATTATAATTTTAATTATGTTTAGTTATTAATTATAACATAATTATTTGCACAATTGTTATTTCAAATATTATTTAAATAGTAACTTGTCTGTCTGTTTTCTAGGTGAAACATTGAGATTAACATCAGATTTTATCAGAAAAACTTCAGGACCATCAGCTTTCAATAGGTAATGATAATAAAATGTAGTGTAATTCACACTTTAAATACTGGATGTTATTAATAATAAAACATCAATGTACACCTTAATCCAATAGAGTGCAAAAATTTAATGATGAACTAACATTTTCAACTTTATTTAAAGGCTATCATTAAGTTCTAAAGATGGAACATAAATTGGAATAGAACACACAATTCAAAGTACAATCAAACTTCTATATAACAGTCACTAAATCCTGAAAATAGGGAAATTTTCATTATACAGAAATAATTTTTGGTAAATACAGTATTAAACCAAATGATTGCCATTAATAATTTGGTGTGGTCTTAAGAATGTGGTTGGTTTGTTGTTGTCTATCTAAATGGGTTTGTCAAGCAGTAGAATCTAAGCCCCAAGGGCTTTATGATGTCAGAAGGATCCGGATCTAGAAGAATTCTTGTGCAGGTCTGTAGGACAGAAATGGCACTTTTTGGTTTGGCCAGTGAGAGAGAGGATGTGTTGAAAGTGAGTACCAAAGTGTGAATTCCTTCTTTGTTCTGGAGTTGAATGTCACAAGAAGTGGGCTTGAAAAAGTTTGCAGAGAATTGAGGTATTGTAACAGTAGTGTATCTTGAACTGTATTACATTGAGCTTTGGGATGTTGATATAAATACAATTTTTTCATTATTTTACCTAATTTAAATTAATATAAATGTAATATCCTGTAATAATGTAATATAAACTAAATTTTAAGTAAGTTTATATTTGTGTTAAAATACCTAAGTTAGTTTAACTACATTTTCATTTTAAAAAATTTGTAATTTTTTGTTGTCAAAACAATTAAAAAAAATGTTTTCTTCATAATATGCTTCACACTTAAAAGCATTAAAACTGCTCTATCTATATCAATGTAACACAGGTTCTAGCACATTTTGTTGGTCTTACATCATCAGCTAATTTCAAAATTGATTTGTGATTTTTGTTTTTTTTTCTTTTTTATGGTTGATAAACTTGCTTCAATTTCTTTTTTTTGAGCCTTTATTAACTTTTTGCAATGCTTTAATGTTTTTAGTAATGCTTAAACAGTTTTACTTTGACATTTTTGTACTACAGTATAGAACATTCACTCTCAAACCTGAAGTTGAAAAGTTGCATTTCACTTTCTATTTTAATTTTAATGTTTCTGAGAACTCTGATAGACAAATTTAGAAATGTATAGGTAATTTCCCACTTTTTGAAAGGTCAAAACATTTTGTGAAATTTGAAATTTTGGTGCATAAATTTTTGATCACAAATGATTGAATTCCTGAACACTGTCCACAAATATTGAGGATGTAGAATAGTTTGGTGTTTATTTTAATAAAATATAGTTATAAAAAGATTTTACATATAATATAGCAATATAAATAAAAAAACGGATAGAGATTAAGAAGCAATAAGAAACTGTTACAAAAAATATTGTGAAACTGCTTCCTATGGAAATAGTGAAGAAAATTTGTGGATTATTTTTACTATTTAAATAGGGTATATTTAATTTTTAGATATATCTATTTATCTCATATGAGTTAGATATCTCATATGCTTCACATATAAAATTCTGAAATCTACAAATTGAAAATATCTATTATAAGTGATTAAACTGTTCAGTACCTTTCATATACTTCTAGGAATAAAATAGTTGCCCACCAGTGGATGAATGGATAAAATCACTTAACAGTGGTAGTTGGTGGTGGGTTTGTCTCATTAATGGGCTGACTATATGGAGATTTTAGATTTTCTTTAAATTCATGCATAAATAGGTGCCAGTTTCCTATAGAAAGTCCTCCCAGGAGGTATCCCTCCTCAGCAGATTTCCCATGTGTTGCATTGTCAAAAACAAATAAATCAAACCAATATTTACATATAGAAACATCACCAAATGATCGTCTAATATTTACATAGTTAATATATTACTAAAACTTTGATATATAAATTTTTAACGAAAATGAATATAACAATTTAAAAAAAGTAAATACATGCAAAATACTACATACTATTTTGACAGATTTATGAACACTAAAGTGAAATATATCTTAATGATATGAAATACTATATTTTTTAAAACAAATTTAAGGTTAAAAATATTAGTTGATTCTCAATAATTTGAAGTAGAAAGAATGAAGAATTTGAGTTTAACAAAATTGAAATTTCAAAAATTATCATTACTTTAATGAGATAAATATTACAATCAAACAATAGATTTAAATAAGCTATATTTTTATTTCTTACATTTGTACATATACAAAATAATAATTATACTATTAGTNTATCAAAAACGTTTGTTTTAGTATGACAGTCTGACTGGAACGCTTTCAGTTAACTGATGTTTCGGTTGATTGATATTCGGATAATGGATGCCTCTATTGTATTAAATAAAAAAAGGGATAGAGATTAAGAAGCAATAAGAAACTGTTACAAAAAATATTGTGAAACTGCTTCCTATGGAAATAGTGAAGAAAATTTGTGGATTATTTTTACTATTTAAATAGGGTATATTTAATTTTTAGATATATCTATTTATCTCATATGAGTTAGATATCTCATATGCTTCACATATAAAATTCTGAAATCTACAAATTGAAAATATCTATTATAAGTGATTAAACTGTTCAGTACCTTTCATATACTTCTAGGAATAAAATAGTTGCCCACCAGTGGATGAATGGATAAAATCACTTAACAGTGGTAGTTGGTGGTGGGTTTGTCTCATTAATGGGCTGACTATATGGAGATTTTAGATTTTCTTTAAATTCATGCATAAATAGGTGCCAGTTTCCTATAGAAAGTCCTCCCAGGAGGTATCCCTCCTCAGCAGATTTCCCATGTGTTGCATTGTCAAAAACAAATAAATCAAACCAATATTTACATATAGAAACATCACCAAATGATCGTCTAATATTTACATAGTTAATATATTACTAAAACTTTGATATATAAATTTTTAACGAAAATGAATATAACAATTTAAAAAAAGTAAATACATGCAAAATACTACATACTATTTTGACAGATTTATGAACACTAAAGTGAAATATATCTTAATGATATGAAATACTATATTTTTTAAAACAAATTTAAGGTTAAAAATATTAGTTGATTCTCAATAATTTGAAGTAGAAAGAATGAAGAATTTGAGTTTAACAAAATTGAAATTTCAAAAATTATCATTACTTTAATGAGATAAATATTACAATCAAACAATAGATTTAAATAAGCTATATTTTTATTTCTTACATTTGTACATATACAAAATAATAATTATACTATTATTGAGATGTTTATTATCACAATGATCTTCTGTTTCTGCCTGACAATGCTTGAGATGAGCTTGATTTCTTGAAAATGTCTTGTTTCATATGTAACATATTAACTTGTGAGCACTATGTTGGCCTCTTTATTCCTAGACTTATTACATAGTCACTGGACANGACATTTGTGTTTTTTGCAATTCCAAAATTTTGAATCATAAGGAATTTAATTATTTCTAAAATATAAATCATGTAGTTGTAGGTCACTGGTGCATGTGTCCCATTCTAGAGGACTAGGGGTACATGCTAATCTGTCTAATGTTTAAATTTTTAGCATTTGGTGTCGACAGGAATTAAGTTAACCCAAGATAAATATTACAATCAAACAATAGATTTAAATAAGCTATATTTTTATTTCTTACATTTGTACATATACAAAATAATAATTATACTATTATTGAGATGTTTATTATCACAATGATCTTCTGTTTCTGCCTGACAATGCTTGAGATGAGCTTGATTTCTTGAAAATGTCTTGTTTCATATGTAACATATTAACTTGTGAGCACTATGTTGGCCTCTTTATTCCTAGACTTATTACATAGTCACTGGACACAAGAGTAGCCTTAGGAAAAATAAACTGATTTTCTAAGGCTGATCTTGTGTCCAGTGACTGTGTAATAAGTCTAGGAATAAAGAGGCCAACATAGTGCTCACAAGTATATACCAAAGCTCTAGACAAGAAGCATATTATAGAACATATCAACTGTAAAGCCTTTCCGAAAATTTTAAAAAGAGCATTATCAGTAAAACTTGATTAGCTAATTTGTTTGTTACATTAAGTATGAAGTGCCTTCAAATTTTTTGTATATTTGTGTTGTTGCTTCAGAAATGCTAACAAGTCAAGTAACTTTGCTTCAAGTGTACATAATGTTTAATTTTATTACAAGTTTGTCTTAATGTTTGATAAAAATGCAACAAAATATAGAATATTAGGGCTTTGAAATAAATTCACTAGAATCCTAGATTTAGCTATCAAAACATGCTTAAAATTATTTTAATTTAGAGAGAAAATGCATTGATGTTATATGAGAACAAAAGTTAAATTTTAGTTAGAGATTCAAGTTAACTAAGTTTAATTAATCTATTGAAAGTAAACTGTGTGTGTTTAAAGAATTTTTTAATGATTAATAATTATCCTATTTTATTTAGTTATAATTACTAATAATACAGCTGATCAGATTATTCAATAAGCAAAAAAAAAATATTAATATAAAATTGTTAAAAATTTTTTTAGTACAAATGAATACAGATTATGTGCTTGGCTTGCTCAGCAGGAAGATCAACATAAAATTGTATTGTATCAATGTGATTTGGAGTTCACACCATGGACACAACGATGTATTCGTCAAGCTGACTGTATTCTTATAGTAGCATTAGCTAATCAAGAACCTACCGTTGGAGAAGTAAGTAAAAGAAAGTCCTCAATTATCATCCATTAGTTCTGCTTTTAGGTTAATTCTATAATAATGTATTGGTAACTAATTACCAGTATCCCTTGTACTGTACGACACAATACAGTAGAATCCCACTTAATGCAGGGGATATGTTACTAGATGTCAAAGCGCTAAATGAAACAGTGTTAAACGAGGTCATTTTAACAGAGTAAATAGGAAAAAGGGAACACGTAACCAAAAATAAACAGATTTTACTTTAATTTTAAGTTATATCATTATGCAAATTAATATTAAAAAAATGTTAAATACACACAAACATGTAAACTTTGTTTTTTGTGATGGTCTTGGATCTTCTGAAATTTTTTTTTCAATGAAATTGTCTAGTTTCATTTTTTGCGGTTTTTTTTTCTTTCCTTAAGCAAATGTCGGTAGCAGGAAATTGCAATCAAAATGTCTCGTCTTGCTTTTGCGCTCCTATCAAAATCTGGATCATTTGCTACAATTTGATTAATGATTTCGGTTACCATTACCAAACTTTTGCTAAGGAAATCTGTAGAGAAATTCTTTGGGTTCTTCATTTTCAGAATCTCTATTCTTTGGTTCTACATGAATTCCTTGTTCTTGAAGATTGACATTGGTTAGACTCTTGCCAGAAACCTGCAGTAACTCTTCAATATCCTACTCATTTACATCTCCTAGTCCTGCTGGAAGAAGTTTGATTAGGTTGACAATTTGGTCAATCTAATCAAACTTCTTCCACATGCTGTTCANTAAACTGTGTGTGTTTAAAGAATTTTTTAATGATTAATAATTATCCTATTTTATTTAGTTATAATTACTAATAATACAGCTGATCAGATTATTCAATAAGCAAAAAAAAAATATTAATATAAAATTGTTAAAAATTTTTTTAGTACAAATGAATACAGATTATGTGCTTGGCTTGCTCAGCAGGAAGATCAACATAAAATTGTATTGTATCAATGTGATTTGGAGTTCACACCATGGACACAACGATGTATTCGTCAAGCTGACTGTATTCTTATAGTAGCATTAGCTAATCAAGAACCTACCGTTGGAGAAGTAAGTAAAAGAAAGTCCTCAATTATCATCCATTAGTTCTGCTTTTAGGTTAATTCTATAATAATGTATTGGTAACTAATTACCAGTATCCCTTGTACTGTACAACACAATACAGTAGAATCCCGCTTAATGCAGGGGATACATTCCTAGATGTCAAAGTGCTAAACGAAACAGTGTTAAACGAGATCATTTTAAGAGTAAATAGGGAAAGGGGAACACATGACCAAAAATAAACAGATTTTACTTTAATTTTAAGTTATATCATTATGCAAATAATTATTTAAAAAATGTTAAATACACACACATGCACACAGAAATGTAAACTTTGTTTTTAGTGATGAAGGTCTTGGATCTTCTGAAATTTTTTTTTAGTTTCATTTTTGCTTTTTTTTTTTTCCTTAAGCAAATGTCAGAAGCAGGAGATTGCAATCAAAATGTCTCGTCTTGCTTTTGCACTCCTATCAAAATCTGGATCATTCGCTACAATTTGATTAATGATTTCGGTTACCATTACCAAACTTTCGCTAAGGAAATCTGTAGAGAAATTCTTTGGGTTCTTCATTTTCAGAATCTATTTTTTGGTTCTACATGAATTCCTTGTTCTGCCAGTTCTTGAAGGTTGTTATTGGTAAGGCTCTTGCCAGAAACCTGCAGTAACTCTTCGATATCCTGCTCATCTACATCTCCTAGTCCTGCTGTATCGATTAGGTTGACAATTTGGTTAGCCTAATCAAACTTCTTCCACACTCCGTTTATGCATTTATCAGTTAATTCTTGCCAATGAAGTTGATATTGCTCATGGCATTCATGATGTTATAGTTTTTTCCAAAATTGCATCAAACAAACAGATTTAAGGAAAGTACAGTGCTACAACATATTGCTATCTTTTGCTGATTGGTTTGTGTTCAGGAATAATCGTATTATATACGAATCAATGAAATGTTGCGATAATTTGAATCAGTGTAAATTTTTTAGGCTTTAAGCAGACCATGTTATATTGAATCAGCATTAATCAGGGTCTTACTGTACTTATACAACACTGTTTTGCTCTATCATGGTTTGAAAATTGGGGATCTCCTCCATATAACATGACTTCTGGTTTCTCTGTAATAGAGGAGAAGGTGGTATTATGGAACCCCTTCATTTCATACTGATAATAGATTCAAACCTTAGCAAGTTGTGGCTGTACTGCACTAGACAGCCATCTATAGCAAGGGGAGAATGCCTCCCATTTCAGTTTTGCGGTTGAGCTCAGTGAAACAAGACATTTGTGTTTTTTGCAATTCCAAAATTTTGAATCATAAGGAATTTAATTATTTCTAAAATATAAATCATGTAGTTGTAGGTCACTGGTGCATGTGTCCCATTCTAGAGGACTAGGGGTACATGCTAATCTGTCTAATGTTTAAATTTTTAGCGTTTGGTGTCGACAGGAATTAAGTTAACCCAAGATGGAGATGAGTGAAATATGGTCCCCATCGGTGCTTTTAATTTGGAATCCAACTCCTCTGGAAACCTGACTCCTCTGAACTTTCTCTTTGCAAGCAGACATTTGTCCAGAGCAATTTGTGAAAAAGACACTAGGTAAAAAGCCAATTCTTCCTGAGAATATTGAAAAAGAGCTGCTGAAATATATATTGTTGACGGAGGTCATATTTTTCTATTATAAAAGCATTTTTTTGATAAAATACATTGGAGTAAATGATTTTTTAATTATTTAACTTGCTTTGTACTTTCCTATTTGTTTTTGGATACATTAAAGCATTTTTTGAAAACATACAGTAAGGTTTCATATTACCACCTGGCTTCCCTAAGGCTACTTTCTGACTTTTCGTACAGAAGCCTTCAAAAACCATTTTTATAGTTATACTAGCAAAAAATCCAATTAGGAATGTTTAGTTTAATAGTTACGATACTTTTGGCACAAAAAGTGTGGGTGTAGTTATGATACCTTGTTTACAATTCACTATAATGAAAATGGGGTTCCATAATACCACCTTCTCTTCTACTGTTTTGGAAATACTCTGCACAAAATTTCCCATTTTTTAATTTTCCCTTTTTTTTTTGTTTTTTTTTTTTTTATTCAAGTAAGCATGTGTTTTGACTCAAATTTGTCCATGGATTTTAGAATGTTGAAATTTCAAATTACAGTAAAATCACTCTAACTTGAAGCTCCAAGGGGCAGGAAAAAACTGAGTTTCAGACAAGTCAATTTAGAGAACGACAGAGTAAAAAATGCCAATTGTGAATAGATTTGTAGTTTTTACCTTTCTTGCATTATATAAAGAATCTTTGAGGTTTTTCTTTTTTGTTTTAAACAGCCTGTGTAATGCCTTTCAGCAAAATGTCCAATGTAACTAGTGGAATTGAACAGTTTTGCAGGTACATCTTGTTGAGATAAAGCAAGAGGACCTCGTGCTTTGGACTCATGTTGTTTGAAAATTGATGTTGGAGAATAGATAAAACTAATTGTCTGAAAATTTCATAAAAATCTGATTATTAGAATCATTTGGATAGATTAAATACTAAAATCAAGTCAGGAAAGTTGAAAGTAACATAAATCAGTGTTGGGGGATTCAAGTCTGGGGGGTAACTTCAACTTGAAGAAAATTCGAGTTAATAAATAAAAGTTGGAGATGTTAAATCCTTATGCTATTGCTATTTCATTGAGGCCTATCAAGTGCTTTGTTTTCTTCAAGTTACAGATGTTTGAGTTAGAGAAGTTTTACTGTATTTTGTGCTTTTTGTCAGATTTACTTTAATGAAAAATAATATTGCAATTTTTTTCTTCCTTGTCCTAACTTTCCTATCAACCAATTGTCATCATCATTGTCTTCAGACTTTAGCCTTTAAGACTGCCACAGTGTTTTTTTTTTTATAGATTAATGTTCATATTTAGTAATGTTTAAATAAACATTTTTAGGTAAGTGTTGTTAACTTTTTTTAACTGTGGGTAAACAATCATTTGTAAAATAACAAACAAAATATGGCAATATCCATGTACTTGAACAATTTGGTATTCAAACACAAATTCTGGAAAAAAGTTTAGTACTTGACTGAACAAACACGACCTGCTAGAACAAATTTTCCATTAACATATTTTTTCTTCATCCATAAAAAATTTTTTATGATAAAAATAAAAAATATGAAAACATTGCTGATACTTCTGATCAAGATCAACAAAAAAGCTGAGATGACGAAGATACTTTGTAAAAAGAAAATGTCCTTGTTTAACTAAAATATTAACATGTAATACATATTTTTAATTGTAATTGTTAGTTAATTATCGATTGCTTTCATAAGCATATTTCTTTTAATAGAAAAAGTATACTTTTGTTAACTTCTGGAATGTAACCCTATGTTTTGCATTAGTTCTTTGTTTCATATAGCATGGATCTGCATAACATGGCACTTTTTCAGAATCTAACTACCATGCTATATAAGGAATACCTGTATATTTATTCTTAGAACTGGATTATAATTGACAATATATCTTTATATCTATACAGATCATAAAACAAAAATAAATTTATTGAATTTAATCTTGTGAAACAAATATTTAATTTTAAAATGTTTGATATATGTAATTAATGATATATGTTTAGAAGTGGATAATAATTTAACAATGCAATAAAACTGGCATCACATTTCATTTCCATTTATTAAATTAAAAAAAAAATTTTGTTTTTAATAGCTTGAAAAACAACTTGAACATATGAGCATCAAGACTCAAAAGGAACTGATTCTTTTACACCGTGATGATGGATTAAAACCTAGAAATACTGTTCAGTGGCTAAATATGCGCAGTTGGTGTTCCTCGCATCATCATATTCGTTGTCCAAAACGAATGTTTGCCAAAAAATCTCATACTAAGATGGTAATTTTTACAATCCATTCATCATATTCATATCTGTTTAATAAATAATAACTTTTCAAATAAAATAATAATAGAATTCTTATTATTAAAAATTATTTTTATATAGATATTATAATTTAACTGAAATATACAGTAGAGCGTTGATTATCCAAATTAATTGGGGATTGTTCAGAAAATTGATTTTTCAGATAACTGATTATGTATGAAAAATACATTATTAATATAGTATATTAGTGTATCCCGTGTTTAAATTTTTCTCCGTTGCGTGTTGCTTTGCGTTGAATTTTTGTTTATGTTAAGCCTAACGAAAATTTTTATAATAATAATCATGGCTATTGTATCGTTAAAAATTATTTCTTTATTTTGTACAAGCAAAATAAATATATTGAAAAATATAAAAACAAAAAAAATTATACTTTAGAAGTTAATTTAGTATCAAAAACGTTTGTTTTAGTATGACAGTCTGACTGGAACGCTTTCAGTTAACTGATGTTTCGGTTGATTGATATTCGGATAATGGATGCCTCTATTGTATTAAGATATAATTTCATTAATCATTTTCTTTTAAAACCATTCTGAAATTTGATTTTGATATATAGTACTTATACTTTGGTTTGTATTTATACTTAATTCTGACAAATAATACAAATTAAATGTTTTTATGATGTGTTTAAGTTTGTTGAAGAATAATGTTCATCTTTAATAATAATAGAATATTTAAATAATGTGTTGCATTTCAATTAGCAATCTATCTTTTCATTAAAAAACTACTCATATGAAGATACATTAAGAAGTATAAGGACTAACACTGAAAGTATCTTTTAGGACTTTCTTTAATGCAATTAAATTTAATTTTACCTTTTTACAAATATCGGGAATTTGCTTAACTTTAGTTTTCAATTTTCATATACTAGATTATAAAATAAGATTTATTTCTTATTTATGTAATGAATTAAGTTTAAAAAATTAGTATTGGCTTGTCTATCACTGGATGAATAGTAGTTAACATATTCAATTATCTAAATTATAGTAATATAATTCAAAATATTTAATATATAAAATACAGTTTAATTATTTGATATTTTTTAAATTTATATATAAAATCTAATTTCCTTTTCTTTAAATAGATGGACCAATACAAAAAGATATTTAAAACCCAACCAAATATACATTCTGATTTCTCTTGGCTTTCGAGATTTTTGACCGGCACTACTTATGGATTGGTACTAGGTGGTGGTGGTGCTAGGTATGATCTCATTTAAATTTAAAATTAATTCAATTTATATGTAATTAAGACAATATTAAAATTTTTAGAGGAGCAGCACATGTAGGAATGATAAAAGCTATTTTAGAGGCTGGAATTCCTATAGATATGGTGGGTGGAGTTAGCATTGGTGCTTTTATTGGAGCATTATGGTGTGCAGAGAAAGATATCACAACAGTTACCCAAAAAGCAAGAGAGTGGGCATTGGTATGTACATTCATTTATTATAATAATGTAATTAAGATATTTGGAGGAAGTTTCAATCAAATTATTACCATTTTATCTTATACGTGTATAAACACATTTTAATACAATAAAGTATGATACCTTCATTCAATGACTGTGTTTTACATTCATAATTATTTTGCTATGGAAAATTGTGATATCACGGATGTCAAGTAATTGTTCTGATGTCAAAAGTTGTAATAGTGGTATCAAGAATTTTTATTATATACAGTTTTGGTATCAGTGCCAATGTCATTTTTGAAATATTCTTATATATTGTTTAAACACACTATATAAGAATTGCATTATTATGCAATATGCAATACTCCAGTGTTNTAATGTTATGTAATCCCTTTAGGAAATCTGAGTGCCGTTTTTTGAGAATTTAAATTAATTTTTTAATAAGATAGGAATTTATTAATTGAACTATTTAATATATCATGGTTGTATTGTGTTTTATATTTGATACTAATGGATGAATTTAACAAGAATGACCGATTAGTAGAACGGGTAATTTGAAAGAAAAGGCTGTTTTACAAAGGACCAATATGGCATAACCAATTTTTCTATTATAACAGATGTTTGAAATTATGATTTGTATTGTGCAGGGATCAGGAACCTTCAAAAGGGTTGGTAAGTTTTTGAGAAAGGAGATAGAATACTAAATGTAGAAGAGCATTTTGTCTGCTAGGGAAATTAACATAGTGATGAAATGAAAGAAGTAATATAAATTATTTAAATTGTTCTGGGATATCTAAGGAAGAGTAAGGCAGATACAGAATACTATGGTATATTTGATAAATTAAAATCACCACATTAGATTTGGGGAATTTGTTATTCATTTCGAGGAATGTTCAATCCTTCTTATGATAGTTTGAACAATCCTGCTAAATTAGTACAATTAAAAATCCAAATCTAATATGAAAAAACAAATAATTTAATCAATAGAATTCAGAATGTGCAATAAATTATTTGAAAATTTTTCCAGGTGCTGTATTTAATCGTGGTATAAAAGAAGTATTTGGAGAAAGACAAATAGAAGATTTATGGCTTCCTTACTTTACTGTAACAACTGATATTACCAATAGTACAATGAGGATACACACCCATGGTGAGAATTTTTTTAATTTTAAAAGATTTAAGGAATTAATATATTATAAGAACAGATTGCTTTTATTTTGGTACAGATTTTTCATTCTTTGCAGTTACGAATATAGTATTTTTCTTTTAATATTTGTTTGGAATATAAAAAATTTTTAACTTAAAATATTTAAATTTCTCTAAAATGTTTTTCTGATTTAATTTGAATGTATTGATAAAACAATCATAAGCACTAACTGCATTTTAAAACCATTATAAAATCTAATTTCCTTTTCTTTAAATAGATGGACCAATACAAAAAGATATTTAAAACCCAACCAAATATACATTCTGATTTCTCTTGGCTTTCGAGATTTTTGACCGGCACTACTTATGGATTGGTACTAGGTGGTGGTGGTGCTAGGTATGATCTCATTTAAATTTAAAATTAATTCAATTTATATGTAATNTTTTATTAATCAGGAATTGCAAAAAGTCAAATGAAAAGCAACAGAAAAATAAAAAAAAATTACTAGAATTACAATGGAACTGAAAAAAGAGATTGTTGAGAAATATGAAGGTGTCATGCATGTTCGAGATTTAACTGTTACATACCATACTCAGTGAATGACAATATCGGCAATTGTGAAAAATAAAGACATTATTAAATCTGCTAACGTTTTGAAAGGGGTTAAATCAATTTCTAAACATTAGATCATGTTGATAAGTTGTTTTTGCTTTGGATAACCGAAAAACTGTGTTCTGGCAACACATATAAGAAGCAATTATTTGCGAGAAAGCTAAAAAGATAAATGCTGATCTCATAAAAATATCACGCAGGAACTAGTCAGGAAAGCGAGGTGTTTAAAGTCAGCCATTTTTTTACATGAGAAAATATTAATCATTTTTACATTACTTCTTATGGGAAAGGTTGGTTTGGTATACGTCCTATTCGGTATAAGTCCAAACATCAGGAACCAATTAAGGTCATATACCAAGGTTCCACTGTACTGTTTTTATGATATGAATTTTAAATTATCTATTTGTGATACACTGCTGCTACATTTTTTATTCAATAAAAACCTAATAAGCATACTTAAATAGAAAATTCTATTTTAAAAAGCAACAATTTTTCCTATTTCTCTGTTTCTCTTATTAAACAATTCATTCCTGTTCTGTCAAATTATTAATTGTAGGAAAGATCATATTCAATTTATAAATTGATTAAATTATTTTTTATATATATAATGTGTCTCTTGAATTTATCAATTTAATTATGAATTTGAGTGCTCTACATTCCGTAAATCAACTTAAAAAAAATCTTTACTTTTTTATATATTCTAAAAATCAATAAAGATTAAATATATATTTAAGTTTTCCTCAGTATAACTATAAAAATTTATTTTGTTTCTATGATTGTATTAATTTAACTGTTGTTCATAATATGAATTTATGATCTGTAACTGCAAAGATATTTAAGAGAAATAATACAGATAATCTTTTATTCAAGTAATTTGGATGCAAAATTTGTTTTATAGAAAGTTTTGTAATTTTCTTTCTCAAAGATTTTGTGACTTCACTATTTCAAAAATTAGATTTAATATACCTGTACAGTACATAACTAATAATATCAATAATCTCTAATTATTTATATTGAAACCAAGTTTGAAAATGGATAAAAAATGTTCATTAAGTAATTTAATTAAATTATCGACCTTAGATCAAATAAGTTATATATCTTGTTTAAACATATTATTGCTGGTGAATTCATTATTATATTGGAATTTACAATTATTTGTTTTTCATAAACTAAATGCACTTTTGCCTTTTTTTGAAAATTTTTATCAATTGAAATGAGGCATTATTGGGGAATATCATAGTGTTGATTACATACAAAATTGAAACATTATTCAAATAATTGAATTAACAAGAATTGTTTTTGCATATATAATTATGTGAAACTTATTCAAGAAATTTGCAAATATAAAATTATTTCAATATAGGGAAATGTTAGTTTTAATTTAATTAAGTGGATGAAAACTATTATGTAATAGAAAAATGAAAAATTTATAAAAATTTACAGGAATTTACTAATGAACTAATTGATGTTTAATAATACATTTTTGGGGAATTCAGTGAATGAATTTCAATATATTTTTTCCTAATTAAGCGATGTAAACTATTAATGCGCACACTATAAAATATCATAACTTATTCATTTCTAAAACAAGGCTTCCAAAGATTTTGGACCCTTTTCTCATGAGTTTTCAGTCCTGGTTTCTTTGAACATAAAAAATTCATTATATGAAAGATTCAATCCATTAAAACACTATTATAAAAAAATTTAAAGTTTTTATCTTTCTTGATCCATCAAAAAAATTTTGTTTTTATAACAAATTAACAAATATTCCTATAATCTGTATCAATGTTCTATAAATGAAAAAAAAATATTAGTTTTAACAGAATAAATAGTATTTTATTAAGATATTACTTATTAAGTTAGAAATACTTTTTGTTAAAATATTTTAAAATATTTTAGTTCTTAAAAGATTAAAAACTTGGCATGAGAGAGAAACCAAGTGAAACTGCACATTTGTGAATTGTATTATTGAGAAAGAACAGTACTGTTGTAGAAAATGATCATTTATTATATGTAGAAATATTTGACTTGTTTGAATTTAAAGAAATAATAATAGAATAAAGCATTGAAAAACGAAAATGAACGTTTGAGAATGAAAAGAATGTTAACACATACACATACTATCTGCAATGCACAATGATTGATTTTTGTTTTTACTTAGAATATCTTTGGACTATTAAGTTTTAAAATTGTTTTATTACAAAGTAAAGATAGTATTACATTATTATGCACAATGATATCATATTAAAAATTTTTTAAACTAATAATTTTGTTTTTGTTTTGATGAATCTATTTATACAATTTACTTTCTAACTAAATTTTAATTATTTAGTAAAAATGTGTAATATCAAATTTCATAAGATCATATTTTTCAGTTTTATAAAATAAAAAGTATAAACTTATATATTTATGATATGAAATAAATAATTCAGTTTATTAAGAATTATAGAAAATTTTTCTTTTAACTAGACCTACTTGTCTGGTTAATTAAAAGAAAATTATAAATCAAATATATTGATCAAACATTTAGTGGATGTAAAAAATTAACAACTATTTGGATATAAAATACAATCAAATAAATAAAAATTAATAATCATAAGATGTGGTTATAATTTATGAATAAAACTAAGATGATGTGGATTGCCAATTGAAATAACTCTTTTGAAGACTTTGGATTTGAAAACTAATTTTTAAGAGACTACTATTTAAGTATAGTAAAACAAAAAATTTGTTTTTCTGATATAGATCATAGCCTATGGTGGTCTGTTGAAATTACAATTTATACTCATCAACTATTTGATGTAAATATAATTAAACACCAAACATTTACTGAGCCTACTATTAATTTAATATTCCCTGAGGATGGCCCATTAAAAATAGGCTGAAAGCATTTGAATATTTAATTAATAGTAAGCTCAGCAAGTGTTTGGTGTTTGATTATATTTGTAAGTAAACAGCTGAGGAGGTGAGGATAGTATTTGATATAATTTTTCAATATCTAATGGAAATTGAGAAGAATCAGAAAAGGGTATTTTCCTAATCTTAAACTATAAAAATCAAGATTGTTATTTTTTAAAATGTGAACTTGTTAGTTTCAGGATCAGAATTTTTATTGCTAAACTAAATTTGATGTTTGAAAATAATTTGAAGAATGCTATTGATATTAACAGTATTTACAATAAATTTGTAACATAAATGATTTTCTTTAAGTTTCATTAATTTATAAAAAGAGTTTAATGATGAAAAGTAGGAAGCTTTAAAGAGACAAGTTAAAATTAATGTTCAAAACTAATCCAATTTTCAGGGAAGTTAGGATTTATATAGCTTTTTAATAATTGGCCAGAAGTAAGAATTATTATTGTAGAATGGTTTAATAATCCAATTATGTTTACATTTAGAATTTGCTGTTATGTATAAATGTAATACGATCCTTTTTATCATTTCAACTATAGAGTTTATGAAATGACATTTTATCACTCATAGGAGTTATTCATTACATATTTCAAGAGCATAAAGCTTAGAACATGCTAATAAAATCTTAAAATATCAAAGAGCAATACAATACAATACAATGCACATTCATTCTCTCTACTGCTTGGACTGCTACAGATAGATTGGGACCTTATTACTCTTGTCTTGGCATTCTTTCTTATAAAATTGTAATCTTTTAATTAAGTTTGATCACACTGCAGCTGTAATCAATTACAGGTATACCTCAGGTTGCATCGTTTCGAGTTAAGTCATTCTCGATTATATGTTGTTTGTCAAAAAAAATACATGGAAAAATGAAAATCAAAAAGTTCAAGTCATTTTATTTGACTTTATGTCTGTCTGCCATAAATATTTAAGTCGTAATATCACTATAAAAGCATTAAAAGTACATAAATTCAAATTAAAATATGTACATTTCCAGTAAATATTAATATAATCATCATAAATCCTAGCGAATGAAATATGAAAACCTCTGACTGTGTTGTTGTCTTATTTAGCAGTCTTTAAGAACTCAATATTGGCATTTTCCATGGTAGTTCCAATATCTACTGTTTAGTGTTGTTGTCAGTGCCACTCTATATTGGTAAATTTAACACAAATTAGTTTATTTTCTACTGTTGCAAAATAATTTTAATAGCTGTATTTGTTATTTAACCTTACAAAATCATCATATTTTATAATGTCTTAGAGCAAACCACAATCACAAATAGTCTGCGATGTACTATAAACATCGCAAAATTGTAAACATGTATATTTACAAGTATGTTTGTATTGTACAGTACATGTATTCAAAAATTTAGATTACTTTTTTCCTCTACTATATTAAAAACTAAAATTTATTTTTTTGTAAGCTTAAAATAGATTCTTATTAACCATATATTATTAAAAATGCATTTATAAATAAAATACAGAACTGGGAATGGTTATTTGTGGTTTAGCCTAGTGACAAGTAAATTTGACTTAAGTCGTTTTTCAAATTAAGTTGCCTCTCCTGGAACAAATTACTGACATAAGACAAGGTATATCTGTATCTAGTATAAGAAATGGAAAAATTCATACTCTAGAAAAAGTATTTTTTTTTTATTTGTTTGACATTAGAATTGTTAAAAGGAGACATCTAGATTGCAAGCATTCTAATTAGTATAGTATATATTTTAGTCTGAAAAACATTGAGCCAATTTAATAAAATAATCTCTTCA